TACTTGATGTTTCAGATATTCGTTCAAAATTTCCGAAATTTTAATTAAGATTTACATATTTTTTGAAGAAAATAGGTCAAAATCTTGTTGTTAAGCTTAAAATCAATTGAAACACTTGAAACATATCAAGGTGAAGTGCTTTAGAATAGTAGTGCACGATTGAGCTCAGGCTAAGCGATCAAGCAAAAACTACTATGTCGATAGCTAAGCTTAAGTAGAATACACTTATGTTCTAACGAAGTAGTCACAAACATATTTCTAAAATCTGAGCATATGTGTCTATCACGATATTATCACTTTCCTACTCTTGATTATCGAAAATAGTTACTAAATGTAATTCAATTTTTGCATACGGATGTACCATGGATTGACACTTAAACATCGTATTTTCAAAATTGAGTACAGGAACAAAAACTTTATTTGAATATGAGTCTTCTATTTCTATTGAATTTCGGCTAGAAATCATAACTCTGAGGGCATATGAATATAATTTACCTGAGTCTATCCCGCTAGTGTTCAAATTTATAAAAGTCAGATAAAGTTTGATAACTTGACTAGGAGCTTTGTTAGTTGTGTAGCAATATTTATTTTGAAATAATAGCTTTTGAAGAATGTATCTAGAAAGTTCTGATCATAATTTTCTTTTGTTAGAAAATTCATGATGTTGTCAGTTAGTATTTATTCAAGTTTAGGAAAAAATATGATTGTTCTCGAAGTTTATCCTGAACGTGTAGAGTGTATTCACTAAAGAATAGTCTTTCGTATAATATTTACAAGATTGAAATGTAAAACCCAATGAAGCCCTTTTTATTTCATGTTAATATTCTTTTCGAACTGATCATGACCTATGACAAAGTCAGAGATATTGAAATATCCACTATGATTTGCTATAAGGGCACAAAGACTGGCTCGCAACCAAGATAAGAAGGGAATTGATTGGGATCCTTCGTTGACTGCTCGAATCACTCAAAACTATTTGTATGCTAGAATGAAAAGGATTCATGTAAAAACGCCAGATACATCCATAAGTCAATAACTCGTCCCAAAAGTATACATACTTGTTAGTTCAATTGCTTTCTTGAATCAATGATATAAAAAATTATGTGCATTATAGAAAGAGTGAACGTAAAAGTGATAAGAAGAGAGAAAAACCCATCACCACATCAAATTTGACTATTCATCTTCTTCTATTACTGTTTCACTGTATGCATTTTCTATCTTGATATCTATCTCTAAAGTTTTATTTAGTTCTAATAAATTCGAACGTGAGGAAAGCTAATAAATGACTGGCAGAATTTTTCTTATTTTATTTATCATTTTTTTTTATTCTGAGAATATGTAAATACTAAACAAAAAAATTAGATAGAACCTATCGAAATTTCATAGAACTTCCAAGAGACATAGGAAATAAATGAAACCACGAGTTTGGACAGCTGAAACAATCGACCTATGTAAAAAAAAACCAATAGATTATGAATGTAATAAGTAGTAAAGGATCAAGAAAAACATGAACGCTATCATAGACGACTGAAAGAACTGACTTAATCAAAAAAAAAAGTGGAACGAAAAGAAAGAATGACTCTTTGCTCTACTATTGGCCTTCTTCTCTCTGCTGCCATTATCTTGTTCTTTATTACTGAATTCTATGATCGTTGAGACACAGACATATGTCCACGTCTTAGACTACTGATGAAATTGTGGGTTACTCTGATCTTTGACGCAATATAACATAAGAAAACAAATTCTAGCCTTCTGTTTGCATTTTGTTGACGATCAGTTTCTGTATACCATAAAAAAGGTGCTTCTGATTAGAGCGTTTGACACATTTATTTGCACTCAAAATAAAGGTAACAGATTTATTTTTTACTTACTTATTCTCAGTGCAATGCTTTGCATGGTAGTTAGACATATTCGATCAGATACTTTGTCGCCAAGTTGTGAAACCTGACATATGCTATAATTTTGCTTCCAACGTCAATCTCCCTGATAATGCTTACTAACAAAATTATGTGACGTAAAAGAAGTGTTTTTTTTATTGCGTTTTAAACGTATATAGTAATGAAAAGTGAATACTTTATCCCAGTTCTATAACTTCATGGATGAAGAATATCAAAGAATAATTTTGAAAACAAAATTAACGCTCAAGTCGAGATCTAAAACTTGGCAAAATAACATATGATCGAATACATCTAATTGTTGTTGAAATCACATCAGTCAGAAAACGCCAACTAAAGTGAACGTAACGCCCCTGACAAAATAACAAAACGTTAAATACAAGGACGAAGAAAAATTATTTGATAGGAAAGAAAAAATAATTCACATACATATTCATGACAACGAATCGTTTTAATCGGTCAAAAGATGTCTTATTCATGTGCTTCTGCGACACTACAACGGAGAATATATTCATTATTAATTACGTTTTTAAGAAGGTTGTATTAAGGGTGTGGGGTGTAGGTGGATGTGTGTCTTTTCGTCCGTCTTCACCCACAACCGGACGCACACTCATACCCTCATATTAGCCTGAATCTACTACGTGAGTCATGAAAGACTTAGAATCACTAAGAATAAGTCAAACCAAGAAGAGGTCGGTCTAGGATAATTTTGTGCAGGTGAAATACTGACTAAAATGATGAATACTTTATGTTTCGATGATAAGCAGCAGCTGTTAGTAGGTATCAATCAGTGTGATTTGCTTCGAACCAACGCTCCCAACCGCTTCGATCCACACCCTACGCCCATTTTCTTGAACATGTTTTACAGTGTCCAAAGGTAACGCGTTACCTCTAGTTTTATCAAACAATTAAACATATTGGAATGAAGAATCTTTTGTCTGATCACTCATGCTTTCCCGAACATATTTGATGTTACTCTTGATGTCAGATAGTAAAGCTTATATTGTTTATTTTCATGTCTCCATCTCCAATACTTCGCTTATTAAGAAATGCGTCATTAATTGATTGCGAAGATATGTTTTTTACGTTACTTATACCCTCATTATATTGAAAATTTGTTAATGATTTATTTAGCATTTGAATTTTTGCAAAGTCATTCGATATTATTATATTTTGATCTCTGCACTAATAAGAATTAGAAGTTATAAAGATTCTATCGTCACAAAAAGAACAGAAAATACAAGTCTATGTGATAAACTGGAAGATCACCTATACTTATTAACCATCTCGTCAATGCATAAATTCATGTTACCTGAATAGAAATCATCGAATTATGAACATATGCTTGCGTTCTGTGTTCATGTTCATACTCCTCTATATTTCTCGTTACGATTAAGAAATGTATACGTTTCTTTCTGCATCTTCTTATTATGCTTCAGGCTAAACGAGTACATAGGTTATGCATAAAAAAGGAGAATATTACATTTCGTTCTTTCTCCTCTCTTGTTATGCTGTTAGTTCCGCCTAGTTTTTGTATGAGTCAATATTTTCGACAAATTGCATGCTTTGGAAATGTTTTTTCGCAATTAATGGTAAGAAAGCTTTAGAACGTATATTATATAATATTTTCTTGATAGTGAAGCCAATGAAAATATAAATTTTATGATAAGAACATCGAAAGAAAAAAAAGAAAACACATAACTTGAAATAGTCTTAATCTTTGATGAAAACAAATGAAATATGTCTTCTTTTATTTTCTTCATTATTTTTTGTAAGTTCTATATTTGTTACTGATAAAGGTTTACGATGTGATAGGTTTATCATGTTTAATAAACGCTGTAAGAATGAATTACATTTAGTGAAAAAAAGAAATTTCCTTTTGAGATTAAAAACAAAAGTTGAAAATATTTTCACTATAGTTCATTTGGATGAATTGTTTTTTTTAGTAAGTGATATTTTATTCTTCAGACGGATAATGTAAGCCACTACTACTGTTAAATATTATTGTGGACATCACCAAAAATTCAAGCTGTTGCCAAGAAAGAAAACTATAAGAATATTGTTTGAGTATAATTATTCATTGTCGTCGAAGAAAAAATCGAAAGAAATTTTAGAATGATGTTATAAGAATGTTCGTAAAATAAATATCCAGGATAAGTTTTGTTTAAAAGTCAAATGTTGAAATGTTTTGAATATCGAAGTATATAACATTGGTTTTTGTAAGAAATTTACTTGCATAGTGCCCAGTAGGTTTATATTGTGTTTTAGTTATCGAACTAAGACTATAAAAACTTAAACTAAATAATCTTGGAGATTTACTCTATCCGAGTCAGACAAGCGTTGAAAAAAAACGGCGTTTTTTTTCAACGCTTAACTGATTGAGAGTAGGGTCAAGTAATACGAGGAAATAGGAACGTATACTGTCGTAATTAACATAATCACATACAATAGACTGTCTTTCATAAAGAAAATCAGTCTAAATATTCATTAATAGTTAGAATAAAATCGAATATAGCTTTTGTTTCTATAATATAAATATTACAAAATAATCTATGTTTTTATGTGTTCAAAGTGATTCAATAACAACTTACTCACAATCATTCATGTAAAACTCTTATTAACTCATTCATTTGAAGTGAAAAACAACGTATAAAACCCAAAAATAACAGACAAGTATAATTGCAAATTTTCATTTTAGATTAATAAGAATGAAAAACTATCTCCTCATTTATTTCTTATTCTTCTATTTGATAAAATATTCATCGGCTATTCTAATTGATGGAATAGGAACAATATTTTGGTCACAAAGTGACACATGTTCAGTAATAGATCGTTTCTTAACTAATGATACACAAAATCAATTAAAAATTCAATGTCATAAACCATCTACAAATATATATAAGACTCAAGATCAAATAAAACAAAATTCAAACAAATAATATGGGAAAACAAAAGTTCGAATAAGCGGTCGAATCGGTTGTATTATTGGATGTTTACCATTACCATCTGATACATTTGAAGCAACAGATCAATTATCATCAGAAGATAGTAAAGATTTACTAATTTATTTCGAAAAGTATTATATGGAGTTATGGAGTACAATGGAACAAAGAAAATTTAAGATGTTAGAAGTTGAGTGTGGTCATTCAGGAAAGTTATATTTTGGTATATGTACGAGTATAACAGGACCAAAAGTTTCATAAAAAAAAACAAATTTGCAGAATTAAGAAAAAAAATTTTTAAAGAAACCCATGGACAAACGACTTCAAATACATGTAAATATTGACGTATTTATGTTTAAATAAATTTTAAATTTCATACTTTAGAAAATGACATTCGCCGTCTTCTTTATGCTAATGATGGGAAAATCATAAAATCAAATAATAAAACATAACTATTAACAGCTGTTGTAAGCCAACACATAGTAAAAAGATTACGAACATGGGCTGATGGATATTATATCATTGAAATCTTTCAACCAGAATTCGATATCTAACAGCAGATGAATATCCAGCATTAATTTTTTATAATATTACGTGTAGTATCTATTGTTTATGTGCTATTTTATGGTTTATTTGGTATGCATTTCATCAGCAAAAGTTACATAAAATACAGTTTTGCATTGGTGGTGTTATTCTTATCGGTTTAATTGAAAAAATAGGATATTCTGCTCAAAATAATACTGTTAATCGACATGGGTAATTATTGAAAAAAAATCTAATTTTAAATATTAATTTTTTTGAATTGTCTACATATAATATTTATTTTGTTAATGTTACAAGTGTAATTCTTTCATGTTTAAAATCTACTATAATACGTAGTTTGTTTATGATGATTGCATTTGGTTATGGTATTGTTGAGCCACCTTTAGGCTTATCAAAACGAAAATTATTTATTACAGGTATACTTTATTTTGTACGAGTTACAAGGGAAGCATTACTTCGTTTATATATGAAAAATGATGAACGAAATTATAAATTATTAATATTACATTTAAGAAAAAAATATTGTTAAATTGAATATTTATCGAAATTTTAGAAATACATTCATATTTGCTGTTATTGCAGGTTTATTATTTACAGTTTGGTCATTAAAATTACATATTTTAACTTTATATATTACGAATTGGAGGGAGATTTGGCTAAAAAATCTCTTGTTTGATTTTGTTGAAATAAACGAAGTTTATTCAGATTGTTGATGCATTTTGGCATATACTTGGTTCATTAATTCTTCTTGTAATCATACTTTTATTTAGACCATCAAATAATATTCAACGTCATGTTTTTCTCTCATTACTTGATCAATGGGATGATGAAAAAGTGAAAGGTGGTGGGTTGAATAATTTTAAACAAAATCTCCTTCTTATTTAGACCTATATGAAAAAAACACATTGACTGCGAGATTTAAATATTAATTCTTTTTTTTTTTCGTAGAATCAACTGTATTTGATTCGATAATAATCTTTGCAGCAACAAATATTGAAAATAGAGTAACATCTAAGAATGGAAAGCAGCAACCAGTATATTTGAATCATGAAACAAAATATTAAACATCCATTAGTAATTAAACATAAGACAGTGAAGATAACATTTTTAATACTAAATTAGAACGACTGACAATGTAAATAAAAGATCAAACATGTATCCTAATACAACAGACATTAAACAATTGTTCCCACTGCTTGTCTTATCGAGCTTTTCTTGTCTTCATTGTTTATCTGCTAAAATGGTTCATATTTAATAATCTTACCTTGGATTTGCCTTTGTATGTGTACAAGAGTCCTAATAACATGTACTTTCTTCTGTTTATTTATTCGTTGTTTTTCGTTTCTGTGAAAATTTACCGTAATACGTGTTTTGATTCTATTCTCTTTATTAAATTGACTTCAGTCGCTTGTCATTAGTTTTGGATTACAATGGTTAGACATCAAATATTCTATAGGTAAAATATATTTTTATCTTTTTGTTTTAATCATGACGTATTTTTTTACATATAATAATATTACATCTTTCTATTTTTCAATTTCTTTTAGACAACATTAAAGAAAGATATGAGTTAAGATATTTCGTCGATAAATCTTCTGTTAAAAATTCACCTAAACACTGATTTCTACTTGTTCAGAACGGTAGTTCTCATTATCTAGATTAATTACTTTGAAGGTATCAACAAATCGAAATTCGGATAGCAGTCTTTTTTATACCATGGTTTAATAGAACTTGTCCAGTTACCTCTTGTATTATTTCTTTGAACATGTTGTGACGATATTTTTTCAACGAACCTTTAGCAAAGTGGATTAAAAAGAATCAGAAAAAACTATAAAAAATGAAATAAATCATAAGTCTCAGTAATTCTCTAAATATTTATTTCAGTTTCAATCGTTATATACTTACGAAAACTATTGTTTTCTTGTTGAGAAACTCGATATTATTGTTAAAAAATCATACTTTGCAGGGTGTAGGTGTAGATGTGGGTGCTAGTCTCTTGTCTTAACCAGCACTCACACTCGTCTATTTCAGGTATTCATTCTCGACTTCACGAGTATATGGATAAGAAAGATACTCGGATACTGTATGTGAAAATTCGAACACAAATCCACACTCATATGAAGGTTTATATTTAATTTCTTTGATTGCGTCTTATCTTGAAATGTGTCAGTCGTTTTGTATTAACGTTCAGTTAAGAAACTACACAATTCCGTGTAGATGTACAGAAAGAAAGAATCATCAGATAAAGTTCAATATCTATCATTATGTGCAATGATTTTTAAGTTATATGTTGATAAAGTTCATGTTTCGACTCATACCTTCTTGTAGTTAGTGCTACAATGACAACCGATCAGACTTTGCTCATGGCTAGTTTCATAAACAGGTCTAAAACGAACGTTCTCTTGATCATTGTTGTCTGCTTGAAAATAGCAATACTTAATGAGAAGGAGAAGAGAGACCTCAAGAAATTACTTAATTGATCGCTCCCCTCCCCCCGATTTTGACTGATCCTCTATTGTACAAGGTCATCAGGTAATTCATTGTTCTATAGTATATAAACATCCCCGTGTGGAAAAGAAAATTATCGAGTGTCTGGGACAAACAAGAAAAAAGAGTAAAATGGATTATTTTTTTTCCTCGTTTTTTGAATTACCTTTTGGATTTTCTCATTTTTAATCGGCATATAGTGAGAGTTGAAAGAGCAACTTAGGTACAGTTATGAAGTTCGAAGTGCAATTACTCTCATCAAACACTGACAATCGATCTGCACTGGTATATCTTCAGATGATCGAATTGTGTATCGATTCGATTCGTATGTATTGAACAGACGGCAACCGATGATCTCCTAAGCCAAATTCGAGTTTGATTGCAGTATAGTTTTTAGCAAATGGACTCTGAATCGGCCAATTAAGTGATTTTTTAATGAAACAAAAATCTTCTATAATATGTGTACTTTTCTAATTTGAATTTACTTTTTTCTTGAACCTATCATCGTAGAAAAATACTAATCCGATCGTTTCGTTTCTTTCTTGCACATATAGAAACGCATGTTTTCGATGATAAATCATTATTTCTCTTATGCGAAGCTTTAACAAAGCAATATGTCAATTGTGTTTACGCAATCCATATGACGATTCGGAGTAATAATAGGTGACATATTGGTTAAAAAAGATCAAAAACAAGTTGAAAATATTTCTTTCGAAACAGATCACATGATAGGGATGATTGAACACTGCAAACAACTCTGGCTATCGCAGAACGGAGACATCTGCTACCTGTACAGTCAAACTTTTTTCGAAAATGGATTCAAATATTCAACATGGAAACATGAAATGGCTATTTTGATGCTTATTTCGTAAACATATTTCCTCTGGATAATGCATGAAAACGTTACAACAACCTACTATTATATCACGAAAATATCTCAACAGTTTTTTCACTCTATAGTGACGTTTTTTTCCATATGCAAAGAAAATATTTTTACAGGCAAGAAGCTTCACAAGATAGTAAAAAAGTTCTATAAGGTATTTTCGTGATGTAATAGTGCATTGTTTATGTTTCCGATGTAACGTTGACACATGTTTGCAGAAACGTTTGATATTCTTCGAAAAAGATGATTCTGAAAAATTCCTTATATTTTCTATGCGATGACTTAGAATTTTCTTGTTCAGTACGGTCTAAAATAACAGTTGATTACCTTGCAAATAACGAAAGATTTGTACACTAGCAAAGAACATAACTATGTATATATGTTATTGATGAATAATAAGTATGATACATGGTTAATGAACATCAAATCGAAATCGAATATTTGAACATATACATGTTCAATGAAAAGTTTGTCTTCGTATCTGATAGAGAACTTGATGAATTTCAAAACCAAACGATCCAATTGTTGTCTTCATGAAAAGCCACAAATGGTTTTCGATCGTCATTTTAATATTGTTTTTTCAATAATCCAGGAGTTGATATCGGGCTTTGCATTATTATTTCTATCGATCCAGTTTGTTTTAAGTAGCATGAGATGAGAAAGATGTTGATTATCAAGTAATACATCGAGTCTATCAAAATATTCTTTGCTCATTGTAAATTGAATTTTTAGTGAACGAAGATTTGGAAAATATCGTACGAGAAACATAATGGTTTGCAATGAAGATATTTGAATATTGTCGAGAGTTAAATGACGTATATTTGGATAAATAGTCGAATGCGTAGAAGATCCAAACTTTTCAATTAATGTCAATGTATGAATGTGTTGTCCAATTGGGTTACCGGAAGATCGCCAATTCGAACTTTCGCCAATAGGACATTCGCCAATGGCGAAAGTACAGGGATGTGTTGGCGAAGGTACGGTGGACTTTCGCCAATTGACGAAATTCCAAGGTATGTATTGGCGAAAGTACAGCGGACATTCGCCAATTGACGAAAGTATAGTGGAGTTTTGTCACCCGTCACAAAATAATATTAATACAGGATACACGTAAGGGCTAAAGCTAACACTGTTAGAATATATACTATAGCTTACGCTTAGAGTATATTCATATATGAGAGAGTCATGTTTTTAATAAGAAAAAAGCGAGATTAATATGAAGAAAAAGGCAAATAAAGCATAACCTAATGTTCATCTGATGATGCACTTGATAAGTCTGATTTCGAAACATTAATTTTTTTCCTTTCCCTTTCGTCCACGACAAAACAGGTTCACCAACAAGATGAGAAAGAGACTTGATTGTATTAGCTAATGATCTTGTATTTCACGCTAACAAGGGGCGGCATAATTATTATCTAAAATGCCATAAAAAATATATGACTACAACATACACAAACGTAACTTATTAATATAGTCGATGCACATTTTCTAATTCACGTCTAATTAGCACTTAAATTGACGAAAGTCTCCTATACTTTCGCCAACTGGCGAAACTCCATGAAGTGTGTTGGCGAAAGTACAGTGGACATTCGCCAATTGGCGATATTCCAGTGTGTCTATTGGCGAAAGTATAGTGGAGTTTCGCCATTGGCGAAAGTGCTATTTGGCGAAAGTTTTATTGGCGAAGATCCGGAATCCCGTCCAATTATTGAAACAACTTCTATATTTCTAGTTTTAAGATGACGAAGTTGAGGAGCACTACCAGAACTAAACTCACATTTGCATAAAACTGTGAGGGTGTGGGTGTGGGTGTGGGTGTGGGTGTAGAATAATTTCGGTGGGTGTGGATCATCTCTTTAAATTATTCTACACCCACACTCACCCACACCCACACCCTCCAGACTTGTAAAGGACAAGTCAATATGTGTTAGTTTGTCCACGTTAATTTATACAACAATATTCACATGTATTTTTTTACAGCTTCATTTCATTTTTCTAACCGTTTTAGATACTAATCGTCTTTGAGAAGTATCTGCTCATATAAAGGATGTTTTACAAATTCAACTAATTTCTTCGTTTGGGCTTGCTTATTATGAACACATAAACTATGGCGTAAGGATCAATTCGAGATCAAAATTTAGTTATTAAAAATATTTCTTACTATTGCTAAGATTGGTGAACTGTGTTTTCTAAGCTCAGGTTAAGATTAAAAATACATATTAATGAATGTAGAGAACCAATGTAACTTACATTTTTTAAAGCAGAGAGTTGACAGACTCTACAAATATCGGTAAAAAATAGAAGAATAGTAGAAAAATGAAAAAAAGATAGATAGAAGAAGTTAGATTAGATTTCTTTTTCTTGTATAAGTTGATGAATTCTATGCAATGCTAAAAAAAGAGAAAAATAGTTCTTGTTAAAATTTTTAATTGGCGAAGCACAAACACTTTTTAAGCAGCTTCTATTTTAATGCATACGAGCCATATGTCCTTCTTAAGGGATCTTATGAGAATTTATTTAACAATTTATCTTATTTAGAAGCCAGTTTCAATGCTTTCCTCTTTTCGATTAATAGTCTATCAGGCTGTCTCTATTCATTTTTAGATGTAGAATTCTGTTGCATTTTTAAAATCAATCATCGTAATGTCCTTAGGGAGAAATAGTAGACTTCTGAGGATTCAATATCATAGTTTGTTGGTGAGATCTTTAATTGCAGCCGGATATGTTAAATGCTCTCGCGCTGCAATACACATTCTTCTATCGGTAAGGCTTTGTTACATGTTGTTTTTTTTTTCTCATCGATCAGTAAACATAGTAGTTTCTGAACTCGAATGGTTAACATGGATATTTCAGTCAAAGTCTATCTGAATTTCTTAATCTGAAACATTAAAATAACTCGATTTATGAATTGATCTATGAAAACAGATGTAAATATATCTTGTGTCACTAAAATTAGCATTTTTAAATGAAACCAATACAAAGTAATTGTTTTTCATGGGAAAAAAAATGATATTGAACTATCCGACTTCTTACTACGAGCTCTATATTGAAGTGAATTTTATTGCTTGTGTTCGAAAGTTAAAGAAGTTACTGTTGAATTGAATAAAATTAACAAAAATTAAATATCTATAAAGATTTTCAAGACTACGGATATTTTTAGAGGAGAACCTAGTACTCTCTAAATAAAAAATTACATGGGAATGATGAAACGGACATAGAAATTGATATAGTTCAAAGTCAATGATTAAAAGTGACATCTTAATCAAATAATGGTAATGACTTTAATTTTAAATAGAGGTAACAGAATTAAATTAATGATAATGTTCCTTTTAATTAATAAGTTTGAAATACGTCAATTTTTATATCCGTGTCTTCGTTTAAATGCAATTTTTTTTATTTTTCAAGTCCCTAAGTAACTTTACATTTTCTTTTTGCTTATCAATATAATTAGAATTGATTACAAAAGAATATTATTCAATATGAAATCATGTATGGGTTAAGTAAGTTGATATTTCAATATTAAATAAATATTCTTTGTATTCTGTATGAATATAAAGCAAAGATTATAAAGATCCTTAATATTAAATCGTTGAAAAATATAAGAACCTGTTTGATGTTGTATCATACTGTCAACAAAAAGAAATTTTCACTTGATATCTCAACGTGAAAAAATACCATTTAAAAATTCAATATTGAGAAATCTCATTTGATGTCTAATTTAATCATAGTTATAAAATGAGTCGATTTTTTAGAGCTGATATATGAATAACAGACATTTGCAGTACGTTTGAACCATTTGTATGAGTAAGAGATAAAAAAAAATCATTTCAAATAATTAGATAAATAGAAAGAACTGCACATGAGAATGAGTAATCACTAAATAATGATCATAATCATTAGATATTCTACCATCACATTAAATTTCTGAAATCATATACTAAAGAGTTTTCTGCGACATATTTTTTAACAAGAAGACATTCAAATTTGGTGTTCTTAGTGAAAATATATTGTTCAAGAAAAAATTGTCATAGTTCATTAGAAAATTTGGTGTGGGGTGTGGGTATGTGTACGGTTCTTCTAATTTATCTACACCCACACCAACATCTACACCCTCCTTTCTGGAATAATATTTATTTTCTATGGGGTATTAGGCCAACTTATCTTGCCCATTTATTATTAAAAAAGAATGCTAACATTGTTCTATGCTTTTATATATCTTAGCCTGTATTGAATGTTTCTCCGTCCTAATTTAATCGTATTCGATAATCAGTAAAAAAAGCCCAGACAAAAGCACATAAAGCAAGCATAATAATTGCGGCATAGGAACATTGTTTATGCCATGATGAAACGTGTTCATTCGGAATTGAAGTAATACTTCGTCGATTATTGGTATTATCACGTGGATGACCATCCGAACAGATTGATTGACTATCGAGTTCATCGGGTTTTTCCAAACCACAAATCCAAGCAAAGGCAGTTTTTAGATAAAAAACAATTCCCGTGGAATCGCCTGAAAGAAAAGATTTCCTTGATTGGAAAGAAAAAGATTTTATATAGATACTTGTTTCGAAAAAATGTAAAGCTTTGCTTTCAGTTTCAGTAGGAGGTTGATTAATATGATATGAAGACGAATTCACGAAGGGATAAGGTTGTTCTTCATCATAATATGTATTTGCTTTATGCATACATCCAGGTCGAGTAGGAATTTCAATTGCTTTTTCCGGATTATCAAGATCAAAAATGGTTAAACCAGATATCTAGACATTACATTTGTATTTGATCGAAAAAATTGATGATAGCTTACATATTTTTCTGGAATAGGTTTTGTCAGAAGACTCACAACGATGGTCACAATACCAGAGATTATGAAAAGAAGAAGTGAAAAATACAGAAAATTAAATCGAACTATTGATGGACGCTTATCCAGATGTTCGAGTTGGCAAGGCATTGCACTATAAGAATATTCCCAAATGAATCGAATTATTCCAATAAATAAACCACATATCAAACCCCAAAATGCTCCCTAAAATCAAAATTATTAAAAATTGCTACTTTGAATAAATTACTTCTTCATTGATTCGTTTCCATAAAACCCCAAGTAAATAACAAGCAGCAACTGGAGGTGCTAAGAATGATGAAACAGCTTGAATATAATCAAATAATCTTGCACCTTGTGCTGCTCGAATAATTGGAATCCAAAGAATGGATATTCCCACAAGAATCATGACGAAAACTCTTCAATAAAACTCCATGTCATTATTTTCCAAACAAATCTTTCCTTCATTTACCTGCCAACAATCATCAATTCCCAATCGTGTGCATTTTGACGAAAACGTTGCCAAATATCAATTGTGAAAATAGTCGAACTCGAATTAAAAATCGATGTTAAAGAGGACATTAAAGCTGCAATCATACAAGCTAGTGTTAAACCACGAATTGCTAAGAAAAGGAAAAGATTTATTTTCTTCCGAAAAATACATCAAAGATTTACCATTGGGCATTAATCGAAGCACAAGAAGTGGATATGCAATGTCACTACAACCATTTCGACTATGACAAACTTGATAGCACACATCAGGATCAGCACAACCGATTTCATCTATATAAAAGTTAGTTTTTAGATGTAATTAAAGAAATACTCATACCTGGAAAGAGAATTCTTGCAATCATTCCTATTAAAATCATAAATAAACTTCAAATTCTTCAAAAGATCAATCACTCACCAGGAAATACCATCAGAAATAATGGTAAAAATTTCAATATCCCCGCAAAAAGACATCCTGCTCTTGCATGTGTAAGATTTTTTGCTGCTAATGTTCGTTGTACAATCACCTAAATTAGAATTCAAACGAATATTTCTTCTTTAGTTTCTCTTTGGATTCACTTGATCGCAACTCCAATACCAAATAGACGCAACTCCATTTCCAAAAAATAACCCAAACCATGGTATATCAGCATCAAATGGACGAATTAATGAGAAATAATATTCATTCGATACACCACATTTAGTAGTATTATGTAATGTTGTATATGCAATTGCATACGGAAATAGATTGCGAATTTGTTGCATACCACCAACTTTGACAAAACCTATTTTCAAATATTTTAATTCACTATTTTCATTCATAGAAATGACATACTGATAATCATCAGAATAACAGCTGATATAACCATAATTACAGTTTGTATAAAATCTGTCCAAATAACTGCTGTTAAACCACCTAGATCAAAACTTTTATTATAACCAGAAAACATATTTCCTTTTCTATTTACCACCAACAGTAAAGAATGCAGCGAGAAGAATTAGAGTAATAACTGAGGCATATAGATTCCAATTTAAAGCTTGTTGAAGGAAAATAGCACCAGAATAGAGATCAACAGATATTTTAGTAAAGATTGATAACATTAATGCAAGACATGTTAAATAAACTCGAATACGTTCACCACCGTAACGCATTTTTATATATTGTGGCATCGTGAATACTTCTGCTTTCATATAAATTGGAACGAATAACCAACCAAGTACCATCAGCCAATGAATTGCCTATTATATAGAAGATGTTTTTGATAGAAAGGAATTTTTTTCTTACGCCTATTTCATAACCAGCAACAGCAATGCCGCTTGAGGCACCAGATCCAGTAAGACCGATGAAATGGCCACTGCCAATGTTCGATGCAAATAAGGACGCGCCCACCTAGAAGATTGAATGAAATCGAGAAGAATTGTTTGAAGACTGTTTACCGGTATAAAATGCATTGAACGACCAGCAAGAAAATATCCACCTGAATAGAAAAATATCAAGTTCTTGACGAATAAAAAAGAATTGATCTTTTCTCACCAACACTACCACGATTCTTGCATGAACTCTAAAGATAATCAAATAATCAAATAAACTTTCTTTAATCTCTCTTACCCAAATTCCAAAGCCGAGAATGAGCAAAAAATAGAGTAATAAAACTAGTATATCCGACCAATGTAGTGCTGTTCCGATGATGGCAACCATGTTTTTGATTTGATTTTTCCACTATGTAACTCTTTATCGATTTATCTTTATTATCCACATTATTCAAAGATCAAACATAATGACATTTTCTTCCTCAAGTGCTTTCAAAAAAAGGTTGATTTTTATTTAAAAGTTATGGTCAAATATCAAGAAGAACAAATGCAAAGAATGACATTTTTCTTTCATAATATAAGATAATCTTGGTATTTGAGATATAATAACTGTCATTTACAAGTCATCCAATAAATGTTCAAGTTGAATTGTTAATTCTTTAGTGTATTTATCTGAATCAGGTTCTACTTGGTGATTTTGTTTAATAATCTATCAAATAATTATCAAACAATCAATATCAATATTTGACATTGATAATTTCTCTTCTTCTTCTTATTTAATTTAAATTTAACAAAATAACGAGTCAATGCATAATTCGAATTCGAATATCAATGTAATTTTTCGAAAAACTCTTCTATACAAGATGAAGATAACAGCAAAAGTTTCTGCTGATGTCATCTATGAATGTATACATTTATAATTAGTGTAGAGCATCCATGTCGAAGCAGCCAAATAGCAAAAGATTGATTTTATTGTCTTTTATAATTATATTGGCTGACAGTTGTATATTAGAAAAATAAAATCTATTCCATCGATCAACGTGTTTCATGAAGTGACTATCTTGAGGGTGTGGGCATGAGTATGAATGTGTATTTTTTGTGTATTACACTCACATCCAAACCCATCCACATCCACTGAAGAAAAACTATTGTGCCACACGGTTCAGTAAATAAGAGCACTTTCTCTTATCTTAGCAGGAACGACCCAAACAGTTTGGGTGCATGCCTATTTATAAAAATCAATTAAATCTTCATAAGTTTCATCTTGATTAACAAAACTATCAACAATTAGATAAATTTTGGCCCACGGGATTTGCGATATGGCTTGAAAATGCAGTGACTTTTCAGTCTTGAACAAAAATCATTAAGAACTTCCAACTCGAGCTTAAATTAATTAGAAATACATGCTGATCAGCAAAACAACCCGATATTTAGAAGAACAGCATAATACCTGGCAAGATGACACTATCATTAGCAAAATGATATTAATAGTTCAGCTGAAGAACATAGTACTCAGCAGTTTGTTTTCATTCTTTAGAAGTATCGTGATTTATTTAGGAGCCTAAATTCTTTTTTGAGTACCTATAATGAAGCGAAAAATAATAACTTATGTGTACTACTATAAATTGTGTATCCGCAATCACATACACTTAAAACTGGTTTAATTATTGAAATAAACGTCACAATAAGATTGTTCTAGATAATAATATCTATTGAGCTCTCTGTTCGGGATATTTTACTCAGCATATCATCGAGGTTGACGAAAAATTATTTATGCCATAAAATGACAGAATTTGTCCTGCGTGACATACATGATTTGAGAAAATCAATAATATTCGAACAATCGAGAAAAATGCTGTATTATATCTTATCAAAGACATGTTCAATATTTTATGTATAGGATATGTTGAATAAATTCTTCAAAAACAAAGTACGCAGACAAATAATCCCCCTTTAGTATGAATGAGTTCTACACGATGATCTATCGGACTGTTCATTTATTGTCATAGGACTGATTAACGACACATAACTTTTGAGACACAAGTCTTTGATGACCCGTCTGATTGTTTTTTTCCTAAAAGCTTTGTCGCTTATTTCTAATTTTTACTCAACAAACATATTACCGTTTGAACATGATTGTTTTTGAAGCAAATTAAAAATGCTTCGAAATGCGCACATGCATGTGAATTGCATTATTTTTGTTTTGAACAATGGGTGTGGGTGTCGGTGAAGTGCTCTTCTATATTCACACACACACTGACCCCCACACCCACACCCACCCACATCCTCGATGGTATTAAAAATGAGGATTAATTCTAATGTTTGTTTTTCGTTTTCTGTTGAATAATTCAAGATTATTGTTTTTTTCCATGAATGTTAACAGAGAATTTTATGCTTCAAAAAAAGAATATAAAAATATGCTACAGTAATACTCTGTGTTTTAATTAACAATGAAATACATTGAATACGGATTCTAATTTTTTTCAAGATTATGTTTCATAAATGATTTCATATGAAACGAATCAATACATTGAATTTGAATACTAAACAATTGGACGAAAGAGTTGAATATAAATCGAGTTAAAATAACAAGAAAATAATGGTGGGTGTTACTTGGACAACAATACTATCTATAAGGGTCATTCCAAAAGTTTTTTCGTACGGCTCTCCTAAAAGTCATAATTTCAATCTGATTATTCTAATATAATGTATAGACATATTTAGAAATATGCGCAGAATTTCAGCATTTTAGGTCTTACCAATCGTTGTATATTCTCATTTCTTTCAGAGTAGTCAAATACCATTT